TAACATATAATTGGACTAACTTGACAATGTAACCAAAATCATAGCTTTTTTTTTTAAAAATGGAGTATCAAAATCATTTGCCTAATTTTCTCAAGTTAAAGTGTTAACAACTACACTAACACAAAGGGCTTCACAGAATAGATATAGAGACACACACTCACCCATAATTCATATACCCCAACAAGACTATCTTAGGCATCACAAAAGTTATATATAGATCTTAATTAACAATCATCAAGGGGGATGGCAATAGAAATACAGGAACATTTTGCTGATCAGCCCCCAACTAGCTATTGTAGTTCATTATTCCCAATGCTGGATTTGGAGCTTTCAAATTCATGACTAATATGGATACATTTTCCGGGGTAGCATGAGTGTAGCTTCAGGATCCAAGTCCCCCAAATAAGGATCGCGCAAGGCTCCTCCTCCAAGAGAACTCCTTCTCCTACAGTCCCATATGTCACAAATTGATTGAAAAAGAAGAAGCAACACCACAAATATTGGAAAAAGTGGCCTCCAAAATTTCACACAATCTGCAGAAACCTTCATACAGCATCTAGAAGCCTTCACAATTCGAACATTGTTGAACTGATTATTGACTTCCTCCACAGTACCAGGAACCTTAGATTCCTCGTCAGGCTTTTCATCAGATTTCTTAAACCCATTGCACATTTTGACCATCTCTTCAGCAGGAATTTTTCTTTCAATGACTCCGGATGTCTCCAACAAATCCACATCTTTCTTGGATCTTATCAGCCCGCACATCAAATCCACATAATCCCTCATTTGGGTCGATCCCATCTTCGACGTTGCCTCGTAGGCCACCAAGTTCCTCAGTATGACTTCTGAATTAGGACGCAGAGTGATAACTGGAAGATACAGTATCCTCTTCTTCCCGTCCAGTGTAATATTTCCTATACCACAGTCTTTAGGAAGCGGCTTGAATTTTATCTTGAGAAAGATATACAGCCGTGAAGCTGAAGGAATGCCAATTTGATCTCCCAAATATTCATCTTTCTTGTGATTCACATGCTGAATATTCTTCTGCAAATTGCGGAGGATGTTGGTGACTTTTTCTACATTTCCTGGAAGTTTAATTCCAGCCATTTTTGCATCCGAAAGTGCAGAGTCGAATTCCTCTATTGCGTGCTCAAGAAACTCCCCGGCATGAGAGGCTACCGCTTTTGCAATTGCACCTACTCTGCTTTCCCCGTAATGTTCTTGATTGGTTGGAGAAATTTTACGCACCTCGTCGCCTATCCCAACTGAATCATTGTTGTTATTTCTGTTGTCCTGAGGGATATTTTCTGGATTGAAATCTCTGATCTTGTTTTTGAGAATCATTTGGTACATAAAATGCAGCAGATGCTTCTTATTGTCAAAAGCTTCGTTTCTTGAGGTTGAATCTGAAGTCAGCTTTAGGGGGGAGTACTTGTCACAAAAACGGACGAATTTCCCAAACAACTCTGCATCTGAATCAATATCGAAACTTTCTTGGAGAATCGCACGCATTTCCTGAATCAGAACAATTGGAATTTGGTTCTCGAGCATGAATACATCGGCAGCCAATGCTTCAGGCTTCGAGTAAATCCTGTCCTTTTCCACGTCCTCGGACCGAGGGTTGTTCTTGTTCGGCTCCTCAGAGCCCAGGTAATCAATCAAGTCCAACAGGAACAAGCCATCCACAATGACTACCCAAGCCAAGGTCTCCTTATCCAGGTCGAGGTATCTATCGTAACACGAACGAATTTTGGGTTCAAAATCTTCAGGACCTTCCTCAACAAGTTTGATGAAGTCTTCCTTTTCAAGATCTTCCAGATAATCTAAAACAGTTGCCCGTTTGTGGCTTTCCATGTGCTGAACTTGTGGCCAGAAATGGTGGTATGGTCCGAGGCCTACTAGCTGAGGAGTATAAGCCTCGGGCTTGGTGTCCCTCAAGTTGTCTGGAGCATGGAAGACGCAGGGGGAGACTGTATGGTTGGTGATGTAGTTGAGCCTCATGTGGTTTATCCATCGTTTTTGGCTCTCGCTAGAAGTGAAAACTGGAGTGGAAGTGGAAGGCATTTTTTGGTGTATTCTTGATTTTGGGGTTTAAACTTAAAAAAGGGATGAGTCAAGTAAGTACTAACTAGTTACCACTAGCTGTCATTATTTATAGGGTGCTTGTGTAAAATGAGGCCTGGTATCACTTCCTTGGGCAAATGTGTGCATTTTCTTATGTTAAGTGTGTGCAGTTTAGGGTAGAAGAGTGAATCTATTTCTTATTTTTAGTGCTTCATATTTGTGTGGAAAGATGCTCACGATATTTTTTCTTTTGTTTTTGGGAAAAAGTGAATTTTCTTAGGATAAGTATATAAAATTTGGATTTATCTTTTTTAATACTGATAGCATACACAATGGATAAAATGCCAAAAAAAACTCCTTGTAATTTGTTGAACGTTCAATTTTAACTCTCTCTAATTGGATGCCTTCTGTCCAATTTTTAAGTTAGCTGAAATCATAAGGAGTTATAATGTAACTTTCTAAATCAGAGGGAGTTAACTTAAACATTCAACAAACTACAGAGAGTTTTTTGGTATTTTATCCCATACACATTAGTAGTTTTAGATGCATGTTACATATGCAAAATTTAATTCAAATGCATACAATTTAGAAGTAAGTGGAATGAATTTACAACTTTTTTTGGTGTTCTTTTTTTTTGCACCATGTGATGTATAAAATAGAAAATTTCTGACTTATATGGTCAATTTTAATTACTTTTTCAGTTATATCAACTATCACGCTTCGTACATGTAATTTGGAAATGCATATTATCAATCACTTGTATAAGTTGTTTATATTATCTGTTTAGGATTATGTTTTCTTTTTTCACGAGTGGATCAAAATAATAATGAGATTTGGTTATGGTTGATAATGATGTACATGAGTATTGAAACCATACACCCCTAAATCAAACTCTGATTATAAGTCATTTTCTTCCCCCGTCGTGTGGGGTACTTTGGTAGGTATAAACTATCCGTCCCTCTATAAAATTTTTTATTAATCACATTAAAATGATATAATTTTTATTTATTAAATTATATAATAAAATAAATAGTAAAAATGCAAACAACATCCTCCTTTAAAATATTAATCTTCATTGTCCTTTTACCTAATGAGAAATGAATCAGAATTGGAGGCACTAAAGTCAAAATCACTGTCAAGTGATTTTTGCAAGTTTTCTATGTTATCTTTTTAGGGCCATGTGTGTTGACTTTTTTGAATTTGGTCAAGTTAATTAGATTTGAGTCCCATCGGAATGATCGAAATGATGTACAAAAGTATTGAAACCATACAGTTGTAAACCATCAAACCATGATTGTATAGACAATTATTTTCTTTTCATGTGGTGGGGTACGTTGCTGGGCACAATAATCAATTCTTTGTCTGATAAAAGAAGATAAACAAACACTTTTAGAGATTGTAAAATTTTTCATTCGACATAAAACAAATTTAAAAGGGAAATGTTATTTGTACTTTATTTTTTTTTTGTTATTTATGCTCTCATTATTTGTTTTATCATGTAATCTAATAAATGAAAACTATATGATTAAAGTGATAATGAAAATACGATTAGTAAAAATAGCTGTGTAAATAACATTTTCTCTTTAAAATCTAATGAATTCTTTTTCATTCAATCACTCGCTTTTATTTGATTTATTTGTGATTTCTTGTAGAAACAAATATTTCTCCCTCGTGCTTCCATCTTGTTAATTCATCTTCATAAACTTACTAGGAAAAACTTAGTGTCATAATAAATATGTTTCAATAATCAAAAAATAATATTTTGATGACAAAAAAAAAGAAAAAAAAAAGAAGCCCACTTGAAAGAAAATGTTACTATAATTCCAAATAAAGTCAATTTTTTCTTTTTAACTAGAAGACTCATTTGCACATCATATCAATATTTGCAATTATAAAAGGAAAATGATATTATTACTTTTCAAAAAAAAAAAAAAAAAAACTTCAGGCACTCCTTCCCTTCTTTTACATTAGATGAAGTTTAAGATGTGCGTGAGATTTTTTGAAGAGAGCTAATATCATTTCTCTTATAAAATGATTAAAACTACAAATACAAAGACAAAAATATTAGAACAGCAAAAGTTGTGTAAAATATTTTCACTTGTTCTTTTTTTTTTTTAAATATTATTCTATACCGTGAATTAGCACAAAGTATTATATCTCACGATCTGAGTCTGGCAAAATCAATTTTCACACCATCAAACTGCGAAAGAAAAAATTACTTAGATATTAATTTTTTGCACCACAGCAGCTCAATATGTGAAGCAAACCATCTAGAGAAGTCAGGACAATAGCCCCCCCCCCCCCTCTCATTCACTGTCAATTCAAAGAGGGAGCTATAGTTCAGTATGGTGGTGACCTCACAATCTTTCTGAACCATAAGCCATGATATTTTTGCATGTGAACATTTGGATATGTTGCATTATTATCCAACAATTTAAAGTAAAAGATTTATTTAAAATTAAAAAAACAATTGTTGACTAGACTTAGTGCAATTATTTGAGAGAGTAATAATTGTTCTTGTCTTCTTCCCAACTAGAAATGGACGAAAGCTGGAGACAAGAACATAAGAAGTCATCAATGCTCAAACGCGTGCATTAAGATACATACCAAAGGGCATTTTACAACTTATGCACCTACCTTGCTTGATTTTTCTTGGACGGCAGTATATGATGGTTCACAATAATGTTAAAGGCATCCTAGTAGCATAACATATTGTTGAATCTGCTGCAAACAGCTCTCAAACATGCACATTTTTCACATCACCAATTTGAACTTTAAATGACTAAAAAAAAGTGTCCTGTTGTAGGTTGCATTCTCACTTCAAGCATTTTTGGTCATTGGAGCCTAACTCTCTATTTTGTGAAGAAAAAAAAAAAGGGAGAGTGGCTCATTATTAAGAATTTATTATCAATATTTGCACTCTGAATTGCATACACTTTTACAAAAAATTTATATATTTGGTAACAAAGCAACACCTAATTCACCTCTTATCCTGAACCTTACGGCATACATTAGAATAACCTGATACATATAAATACTCGCAGTGAAAATTGTGTAAGAAAAGGCTTGCATTATCTTCTAAAGAACCAAATTGGCCTATCTTCCTCGTTGCTACCTACCAAAACCACCTTTACCACCAAGTCCGTGACCAGTCTAACATGAAGATAACCTTAATAAGGCAGTGCACCAAGTTCAGGCTAGAACAATTCCGCCACTCCCTCGTACTCACTCTGCTCGAAACCCACAAAAGAGATCAGCATCTTTTGAACCCAACAGTCATTGACTCGTTCCGAGGTTATCTTGAAGAGGTGAATGTCAAGTCCAAGGCCACCCCGGGCTCCGTCCTCATTACCACCGCTCAGGGTGGCTCATTCTGCAGAGGATTCGACTTCAGGTATGGTTGCAGAACATAATTTCTGAACAATCATTTTTCATCTCACATATATTACATTACAAAAAATATTACGGTAACTACACATCAGAATTATCTGAATAATAATGTCCGATTGAAACGAAATAACAGTGTCTAGAATTCAACTTCGGTCATTTTTCAGATTTTTTTTTTTTGCAAGAAAGAAAAGGTGTAGATTAATGCAATTACTCGTGACAAATAAGTTGTGGTGTATCAACTCGATCAGGTATGTCCGGTCCCATGCTGGAGGCTCAGAGGATAAAGCATACAAAGAAATGAATGATGGCTTCAAGGATGTGGTAAAAGACTTGATTTCCCTTCCGATGCCCACCATAGCAGCAATTAATGGCTATGCAACGGAGGCAGGGCTGATACTTGCTCTCAGCCACGACCATCTCACAATGAAGCAAGTCGTTGAGCCGTATCTGCGAGCTGAGCTTTTGTCCAGGAAAAGGAGCTACCCCGGCTACTTCGCTGCCCTGATCAGGTCAAAAGTAGGCTGCCCTTTGGCTCGTCGTAAATTGCTGTTGAGGGACGTGCAGATTGATGCAGAAGAAGCAGCAAAGATCGGACTTCTGGATTGGAACCATGAGGTTGCAAGCGAGAAGGATGCCTTGGAAGTTGCAAAGACACAGGCAGACGAACTAGCGAAAAAGGAATGGAATGGCGAGCTTTATGCTGAGATGAGACAACTTTTGTATCCCGAGCTGTGCAAGGAATTGGAATTGACTTCTAGCCATAGTTGTTAAACTCCCAATTCTTCTGTTACGGTCTTAAGATTGTAATAATACTAGTAGTATTGTAGTAATAGCTAGTACCATAATAACACTTGCCGGTTTGGGATCGCATATGCCTTGTGGTATACATTCAGCTTTCTCTTACTATTGGAGTAACAAGAATGAATATGCAGTTTTTGGGCACTCGAGAATTACCTTTGATTTAAGTAACTTATTTGAGGTAAGTTGGACCTAGCACCAAAATTTAGAGGTTACTCTCTCTCTCTCTCTCTCTCTCTCTAACATTTTATATAATCCATTTATTTTCTAGTTTTTGGTCAAAAATAGGATAGGACATTGAATATTATTTGTTTAGGAAAATAAAATACAGAAAGTTTCCCTAGAACTAGTTATCTAATTTTTGGCCTTCAAGATTAATTTAACACAGATCTTGAAAGAATGAATTATGTTCAGCTGATAAATACCATTTTGTGGGACATACACAGGAGGTTGAAATGATATACATTTTATCCATAGAGTAATTTTTTTGACGGTGAAACTCTTACTGAGTAGGAATCAAGCTACAAGTACATGTAAATTTGGAAACGTGTGGGGCAGTCTATGCTCTCAGCAATTCTTCTGAGGAATTTGTGTTTGTTTCCGATATAAATACATGGGGAAAAACCTTGGATTGTTCTATTTGAGTGAAGCTGATTTTAAGCATGGTTATTAGGATTGCAACCTGGACTGTAGGATCGTATGATATTAGGATTCATAAGATGACCAATGATTCAGATCACAAATAGGATCAAATTTTGGTTTTAATTTAGCAAGATCAATAGGATTCCTAATATGATCCTACCATTTTCAAACATTTAGGCAATAATTTTAGCATTTTGATCATTTTGTTGTGTAAAAAACATGAAATTGAGTGCCATTTGTTGTGTTGGAAATCACATTCAGAGACTAGATTCAAGATTCAGAGGACTTTAAAACCACATAAATACCACGCTCGAATTCCTTACCTACAAAAATTGGAGAATCTTTAAATTTGATTCATATGTTTCACTAGAGTAAAGAGATGATATTTGCTACAAGTTATCACTTAAGGATAGTGTTTATTGTGTTTATTATGATAATTTAGCATGGTTTAGAGTATTTAAAGATGAATTAACTACTTTTTCTATGTCTATGTGGATAAGTGGTAGGCCATAAATTTGAACCCAAAATACATTTTTTGGCAAAAAATTCTATTCTTAGAATTTTCTTTGATTAGTGTTTATTGTATACCAATTTTTCAATTATTTAAAATATATTTGAAACTTTTTATTATATATGTAATATTTAATTATTCTATTATATAAAAATAATGTAATAATTGATCAATAAATCATAATTAACTAAATGTGTGGTGTTTATCTATTTTATTAATATATACTTAGATGGTTTATACACATATGAAGCCAATTTTTTTAAATATCTTGTCCAATAATTCTATTTGGATTTTAAAACGAGAAAGAACAAGATTTTTAGTTTAATCAAAATACATTTCGAATATACTACATATGGTCCCTGAGGATGCTCATCCCAGTTCGGTTTGGGCCGAGCCGAACTGGTCCTCCAGCCCACTCCGGGATGATCCATCTGTTATGCTCACCTCGGCTACTCCATGGATGCTGATGACCAAGGTGATCTCAGCATCCGACGTCACCATGGAACGGAGTGGTGATTTACACCACAACCGAAGTAGATGTGACTCCTGTCACACTCCGTTTACTGCTCTGACACACTGCCCACTGCCCAAAGTTGTCAAGTTAGGGTGATATACTGTCTAAATCAGATTTCTAGGGACCTGGACCCCACGGTTCTTCCCTCCAAATTGTCCCCTATAAATATCAGGACCCCTCACTAAGACAAGGACGATTTTACTGGTTAAAGCCTAAACTCTGAGAATATTCTTTCATTTTTCACCTAAAAACTAATTAGATCGTCGGAGGAAAATTGGGGGATATAGCCCTTCTCTGATAAACTGAGCAAGGTGATCTTCGTGTAGTTACCTCTTCCAGCAGGATTACACTCCAGCAACCCGAGGCAACTTATCCGGTCAGAATTCACTTTTTCAATTGACTCCGTCTATGAGAAATGAGAGTACCTGAAGATGAGATCTACGCGTTCTAGGATCAGAAAGGCTCTTACTATTGGAGCTGAACCAAGCGGTGCAGTTCAACAAGGAAAAGGGTCCCAAGGAACTCAGCCCGCAAACGAAGAAATCATGACCTGAATGGCCGAGTTTGTGGCTAAGAACCTTAATATTTTCGAAAAGTTAGGGAGGTACTTCAAGAGGCAAGGCAAGCAAGAGGTCGAATCCTCTAAGAGAAAATCAGATGAATCTCCCGAGATCTCATTCGATGAAGAATCTGATGGAAGACATTCTATTAGGAGCACCCCAAAACGAGCCTCATCCAAGATTATTTCTAGAATTGCCTCCATCTCCAAGGCATTCTCACGGGGTCTGCTGGGAAAACGAGCCGAGAAAGAACCTCGGCACCCAGGAAGGTTGAAGGTGGATTACACGAGGGCTCCGCCTTTCACGGATGATATTAATAAGAAAAGGCTTCCCCCAAATTTAAAACTCCCCACAATACCACCTTATGATGGCCGAGGTGACCCTGAGGATCACCTTCATGCATTTATTTTAGCTTTTCGATTACACTGCGTTCCCGACCCGGTTATTTGTCGAGCCTTCCTGATATTCTTGCAAGGGACTGCTCGAAAATAGTTATGGGGACTAGAACCTAAGAGCATATCCTTCCTAGGAAAACTAGTGGACAAATTTATTCATCGATTTGTATCTTCCAAACCGACGACAAAGACCTCGACTTATCTGTTAAATATACAGCAGAATCCGGTAGAGTCCCTTCGTTCTTATATACAGAGGTTTCAAGATGAGAGCATGCAAATACCTGATTCTAATGAGCAAGTAACTATAGCCGCCTTTACAAATAGGTTTGTAACCGAAGTGTTCAATACCGGAGTGCACAAGAAGTATCCCCGCACGCTTCGGGAGCTCTGGCAGAAGGTCAAAAAAGGCATACAGACCGAGAACCTGAACAGTATGAAGAGAGAAACCCAAGTGGCTTGCTCAGGACCTGATTCCCGAAGGAAGAAAGAATCAGGTCGAAAAGAGACTGGCACCAGTGGCAGTTTGCAGAGTCCCAACCGAAATCTTCGAAACGTTTTTGACAGGATAGCCAAGGGAAAGTCATCTATTCCAGATTCTGAGCTAACCCCCTTGAACGCTAGCCGATCCCATGTGTTCTCTATGATAAAGCAGAACAATCTTGGACGTGCCCCTCCAAAGATGTTCGGGAAAAGGAAAAAGAGGAACTCTAGCATATACTATCTATACCATCGAGATATCGGGCATAAGACTAAGGACTGCAACGACCTCAAAAAGGAAATAGAGCACCTCATCAAGTAGAGGCATCTGAAGCAGTTCACCCGCCGAGACGGGAGTTATAACCGGAGTGGCTCTCGTCGCGAAAGCCGAGATGACCAACGGCGAGATGATCGACGAGAAAATAGAGGTAGTTGCCGACCCCCTAAGAATCCTAGAGAGACGGGTCCCCTGGTCATGGGTTAGGTTACGGACCAAACATTGTCGGGGTTATCAACACCATAGTCGGAGGTCCGACGGAAGGTGATAGTCAAAACTCTCGAAAGAGAACTTATAGACAGGCTAATCTGGACCAAGCCGAGTCGAGCTCTCGCTTGTCTGAAGTAATTAGCTACGGTCCTAATGATCCCATCCCTGCCGCTTCCAACAGTCATGAGGCCCTAATAATTGAGGTGCTCACTAACAACTACATTGTTAAAAAGGTATATATTAACCCAGGAAGCTCGCTCGACATTATGTATTTTCGAACTTTTGAAAGTTTAAAGCTGATTAAGGAGCAACTGACCCCGGTTAGAACTCTCTTGTTGGGTTCGGGGGACACTTGGTGCATCTCGAAGGGATGGTTACACTGATGGTCACTGTGGGGCGTCACCCCCATTGTCGTACCATCCCCGTTAACTTTATCGTGATTAAATCTGACTCTCCTTACAACCTGCTCATGGGCCGACCTACGCTCAATACTTTACGTGTGGTCTACTCCACGTACCATTTGAGGTTCAAATTTCTGACCTCGGTGAGCATTGTCGAAATTAGCAGTGATGTCTGTGCAGCACGAGAATGTTATCTCGCCACCTTGCAGGCCGCGTCCACTTCGACATCTGAGTTAAGGATCCAGGGGAGGAGGTCGAACATCCTTTCAATCGATTGTATCAATTCTCAGCAGACTAGGAAGTCGAAGAGGCTAGAAACCGGAGATGAGGTGAAAGATATCTCTTTGAACCCCGCAAAACCTAACCAGATAGTCCGTGTCAGCATCCACTTGCTCGAGCCCCTCAAAAGCTAGCTGATCAACCTCTTTAGGGAGTGTTTTCATCTGGACTACCGAAAAGGTTAAGGGACCGCACCATCTCATGTTGCACGAGCTGAATGTTGACTCTCAGGTACGTCCACTTATGCAGAAGAGAAGGCACTTCGACTCAGAACATAACAAAGCCGTTGACGAAAAGGTGAATAAACTCTTGCCGGCAAAGATGATCAGGAAGGTGCAATATCCAATCTGGTTGTCTAATCCTATCATGGTCAAAAAGGACGCGGGAGCATGGAGGATATATGTGGACTTCACCGACCTGAACAATCCCTGCCCCAAAGATTGTTACCCATTGTCGAGAGTCGATGCATTAGTGGACTCAACAATGGGATATGAAGTCATTTTCTTCCTTGATGCTTTTAAAGGATATCACCAAATCGGGATGAGCAAAGAAGACCAGGAAAAGACGGCATTTTTCTTAGATCTGGGCGTATATTGTTATACCACTATGCCTTTTGGGTTGAAAAATGCCAGGGCTACGTATCAGCGATTGGTCAACCGAGTTTTTCAATCTCAAATAGGCCGAAACGTCAAAGCGTACGTGGACGACATCCTCCTGAAAAGCAAAAAGACCTCGGTCTTATTATCCAATGTGAGAGAGATGTTCGGAATCCTCTGTGATACTCGGATGATGCTGAACCCCAAAAAATGTGTATTCGGAGTTAATTCGAAAAAATTATTGGGGTATCTCGTATCATGCCGGAGTATAGAAACAAATCCTGATAAAA